TGCCCCACCACAGTTACAGCTGTCAGCCTTTTTAGCAGGAGGGTTACTCCACCTTCAGGTGTTGCTTCTGTGACGCAGGCAGGAAGAAAGGGGGAAGGATAAAAGGCAAACCCCGTACCAGTTGAGTTGCCCTTTTTATCAGGAAAACTAGCTTTTCTGGAAGTTGCACCCAGGAGACTTCCACTTGCAGCTCCCTGGAGTGCACAGGGTCATATGACCACACAGCTGCAAGGGAGGCTGGGGAAGTATTTTTAGTGGCTACATTGCTGCTCCAAACAGAATCAGTGGTGAGACAGAAGGGGGAGTGGATTCCGGGTAAGCACCTGCCGGAGTCGGCCACATCACCTCAGCCTCCCCCAGTACTTGCCTCTCCTGGGCCACCATATCACCTCCAATCCATCAGTCTACTTATTTGGGCTTCGAGGCCCAGCTTCTTCCTCCACACCCCCAGCCCACACTGATCTGTACTTCTTAAATACAGGACTTTCAGAGTTAGTACAAGCATCGGAGTCTTCTAGGGTAACCCCTCCCTTTGCTGAAGAACTGAAAAGCCTGGAAAACGACTCACCCATGATCATATTGTAATGTAATGATAGCAGCCACACACACAGTGTATGCTGTGTTGCTTAACTGGTCACTTAACATAAATTACCATTTAACCCTCCCAAATACCCCCGCCCCATAAGATAGCTGTCACCTGCATTTTACTTACTAGGAAAACATGGCACAGAAATGGTAAGCAGCAGGGACGGCCAGCCCTAGAGTGACCCGGCCAAGGTCTAGTGCCTGCACTGCCTCCCTAACCTTGCTTCGCCTCCCACGCAGGGGATTGGTGTCAGGGATGCCATTAGAACCCATTTTTCTAATCCTTCAGTCATTGTTCTTTCCACTTAATTTTTCTCTGAGTGACAGGGCTTACTCCCCTGTTTTATGTTACTTTCAGTTGTTTATAAGTGTTTCTCGCTGTCGGAATTAGGTTAAATGTCTTTTTAGGATGGCATCCTTACTTCCACTCTTCTCCCCTAGCATCATTTGAGTGATCTTTTACAAACATAAATCAACTTTGCCATTCCCTTCTCAACCAATGGCTTTTGTTACTCTTAGGCTAAAGGCAAAATGTTCATGTGCCCTGGCAGGACTGAGTGGTCTAGCTGCTACCTCCCTCTCAAGTCTGACCTCCCCCCCCCCCTTTCCTGCCTCACCCCCCTCCTCTTCTGCGCTGAGCAAGATTTCCCTTCCTTTTGCCACTTTTCCCAGGTCGTGAGGATGTAATATGGCAGCATGTACTTCACTAATGCGGCAAATGACAAGAGCCAGAGGTGGCTTTAATAGCTGCTGCCACCATCGCAGGTGGCGGTGAGCATCAGCAGTCAGTCAGGACGTGTGGGGTGACAGTGCTTTATTTCTGCTGGCAACCGAGTCACAGGTACTGCCTTGCAGTCATAATAGGAGGAACTGCTAAGTTTCAGAAGTTTTTGAAAATAGAGATTCACGGACTCTGAATTCCATCCGAGGATGCCCGGGGCTCCGTCTTATTCTGCTGCTTGGATTACTTCTCATCCTTTTCTGTGCTTGTGCCTTCCTCATCCTGCTTGCTTCCCTCCGTCCCTCCTGCCACAGCTCCCGGGATGCTATGTAAACATGCGCATCCGCTCTTCTCCATGTCCTCTTCTCCATGTCCTCAGCTTTCGCTACGGAATCTAACAGGCCCATCAACATGTCCTGAAGCCCGCATGGCAGGACGCCCCGAGGTGGGCCGTGCTGTGTGGCCTCCCGGGCCAGGCATCCCGGGCCAGGCTCCTGACTCCTGCCCCACCACAGAGTTACAGCTGTCAGCCTTTTTAGCAGGAGGGTTACTCCACCTTCAGGTGTTGCTTCTGTGACGCAGGCAGGAAGAAAGGGGGAAGGATAAAAGGCAAACCCCGTACCAGTTGAGTTGCCCTTTTTATCAGGAAAACTAGCTTTTCTGGAAGTTGCACCCAGGAGACTTCCACTTGCAGCTCCCTGGAGTGCACAGGGTCATATGACCACACAGCTGCAAGGGAGGCTGGGGAAGTATTTTTAGTGGCTACATTGCTGCTCCAAACAGAATCAGTGGTGAGACAGAAGGGGGAGTGGATTCCGGGTAAGCACCTGCCGGAGTCGGCCACATCACCTCAGCCTCCCCCAGTACTTGCCTCTCCTGGGCCACCATATCACCTCCAATCCATCAGTCTACTTATTTGGGCTTCGAGGCCCAGCTTCTTCCTCCACACCCCCAGCCCACACTGATCTGTACTTCTTAAATACAGGACTTTCAGAGTTAGTACAAGCATCGGAGTCTTCTAGGGTAACCCCTCCCTTTGCTGAAGAACTGAAAAGCCTGGAAAACGACTCACCCATGATCATATTGTAATGTAATGATAGCAGCCACACACACAGTGTATGCTGTGTTGCTTAACTGGTCACTTAACATAAATTACCATTTAACCCTCCCAAATACCCCCGCCCCATAAGATAGCTGTCACCTGCATTTTACTTACTAGGAAAACATGGCACAGAAATGGTAAGCAGCAGGGACGGCCAGCCCTAGAGTGACCCGGCCGAGGTCTAGTGCCTGCACTGCCTCCCTAACCTTGCTCCGCCTCCCACGCAAGGGATTGGTATCAGGGATGCCATTAGAATCCATTTTTCTAATCCTTCAGTCATTGTTCTTTCCACTTAATTTTTCTCTGAGTGACAGGGCTTACTCCCCTGTTTTATGTTACTTTCAGTTGTTTATAAGTGTTTCTCGCTGTCGGAATTAGGTTAAATGTCTTTTTAGGATGGCATCCTTACTTCCACTCTTCTCTCCTAGCATCATTTGAGTGATCTTTTACAAACATAAATCAACTTTGCCATTCCCCTCTCAACCAATGGCTTTTGTTACTCTTAGGCTAAAGGCAAAATGTTCATGTGCCCTGGCAGGACTGAGTGGTCTAGCTGCTACCTCCCTCTCAAGTCTGACCTCACCCCCCTCCTTTCCTGCCTCGCCCCCCTCCTCTCCTGCCTCACTCCCCTCCTCTTCTGCCTCACTCCCCTCCTCTCCTCCCTCACCCCCCTCCTCTCCTGCCTCACCCC